GCTCCAAGGGGCAGCAATGTGCGGGGGGGTGGGGGGGTAGCGGGAGGGACGAGATGGGTGGCTGTATGTAATCCTGAAATCTAAGAGAGCTAACCAGCCACTTAATTTATTTCCCATATGAGCTTTTATTGCTGGGTCTCATTAGCAAGGGGTACGGCTATAAATTCTTTCCCTTCCGCGAAGCAAAGTACATGGTTTGATATCAGAAACTTGAGCCCTTCACATTGCAGGGAAGAACTTGGAAGTAAGTAAATCTCAAAGCTCCTTTTAGCTGCCTTGGTTGGACTGCATCCAGCATGCTGTGTCCAGTCTGCACAAGATCAGCCACAATATGCTGCTCTGTTTGCTTTATGCTGCCTGGTTCTTTAACTGGAATACCCTCTCTTTACCCACATGCCCACTCTACCCTGGAATGCCCCAGTCTAGCTGTGAAGCTGATTGCTTTGTGTTTTGAAAAAGAGAAATCAACTCACCACGAAGCAGCCAGTTTTTCTTTTCGTGTCCCAAAGAAACCAGCTCGCTGCGCTCATAAGCCCTTAGCTTCTGCAGTGCAAGGAATTCCATTTACAGTAATCGGGAAGCTGAGAGTTTGAGGGGTTTTTTGTTTTGTTAAACAAAGCTGTGGAACAATGCAAACCAAGCCGCTGTCTGCAGGCTGAACTACAGGTTGAACCTCTCTAGTTTGGGGCCAAACCAGAGAATTTGCCAAACCCCGGGAGGTCAAAATTGTCTAGCAGCATCACCAAGACTTCCACTGCTTGCTGGGCACTTAGAAGACATTTGGGGTCAATTAGAGCTAAAGAACAGCACAGAGCACTGAGCGCAAAGACTGGCGGCTGTAAACAAACTTTATGGGACCACAGGAAACTTGGCTACACCCATGCTAAGTGGACATCCGGATTACTGAAATCGTGCCGGACCACAGAAGTTGCCGGACCAGAGAGTGCCAGACTAGAGAAATTCAATTTGTACAAGAAATCACTTGCTGGCTAAACTGAGATGATAAAGGCGGCCTCGTTCACTGCAGCTGAATCCCAGGGAAGGTGCAGTTGGCATAGAAATGAATGACATTGTCACACCCACACTCTTCCCTTCTCTCCCCCTTTGTGCACACTCGTCTGGGTCTTGCAGCTCTTTAAAGACTAATTAGGGATAAGCTTTCATGTACCTGAGAAAGTGGGGTTTGACCCACAAAAGCCGACGCCCAAATAAAACTGCTGAGTCTTTGAGGTGCCACAAGACTCCTCGTTTGGAACCAGAATAACAGAGACCCCTCTCGGACTCGTCTGGGTCTGTCCCTTCCCTTTCCCTCACGCTTCATCTGACTCCTGCTGGCTGCTAACAAAAGGGGACCCTCCCCCTCCCCCCTGAAGCCCCAGCTGTCTCTGCTGTGGAGGCTGGGATCGGGGCAAGGAGTCTGGGGGAAGGCAGGCAGCAGGCTGGAGATGTAACCCTGACGGTCCCTAGTGACGGGCCAGCCTTATTCCAGGAGGTGTACGACACACATGTCTGCTGCAGTAAGTACCCCTTGGAAGCAGCACCCTGCAGGCCCGCCCACAGCCATCTGTGAAAGGCAGTTCTCTTGCTCAGACACTCGGCTGCCTTTGCACAGCCCTGGAGTGGGAGGGGAGCCGGGCAGAGATGCACACCCCGAGGGAAGGCTCGGGGCTGTTTCGCCCCGGGGAGCTCCAGGTGCCCAGATTCCTTTCTGGACTGCAAGGAAAACCCCTCCATGCAGCTGGTGGGCGGGGGAGGTAGTCAAAGCCCTGCCTCCTCATCACCCCCTTTGGGACGCTATGCACCTTCCGGGTGACAACGCCCATGACAGTGCACTGGAAAGTCTCTTAGGCTACGTCTCCACGACGAGTTTTCTTGGCAAAAAATATGCTAATGAGGGACTCATTTGCCTGAGTCGTGATCTCATTTGCATATTTTCTGCCGATCCATTTTTGCACTAGGGGTTTTTGCGCAAAAACAAGCTGCGTGGACGTTTTCTTTTTGCGCAAACCCCCCTTTTTCTGCAAGATCCTGATGCATGTATACGGAACTTGCGGGAAAAGGGGTTTTTGCGCAAAAAGAAAACGTCCATGCTGCTTGTTTTTGCGCAAAAACCCCTAGTGCAAAAATGGATCGGCAGAAAATATGCAAATGAGATCACGACTCAGGCAAATGAGTCCCTCATTAGCATAACCGCATAGGGTAAATGCAGCCTTAGAGAGCCCCTCTGAAGGGCACATGGGAAACAGTCAGTGCATTCTTTCCCTGACCTGTATGCGATCCTAGCGTGGCATAGGCTCTGAGTCTATTAACCCTTTTCCAGATGAAGGGGGGGACTTCCCAGCATGCATCTCTGCAGACAGGAAACAACAAGTCTGTGGTCAGGACAGGCAGGCCTGGACTGAAATAAGGGTTTTCAGTTCACAAAGTCCTGCCCCAAGTTAGACGTTGGAACGAACCCCTCTACCCAGCCTAGCTACTTGCTGCTGAGCGTGGTAGCCTGCTGGAGAGCCCTGGGAGCCAACTGCGCCTCCTTCTGGAGAGGAGCGCTCCAGCCGGCTCTTCCCGGAGCTCTGCGCCGGGGCAAACCATCTTCCTTTCACCTCTGGCGTTCACACGAGCCCAGAAGTTGAGCCCAGGTTTGCAGAGAACTTTTTGAGGAACCTGGTCTGAGTTTGTAACGAAAGCTGAAACCACAGTAACGTGAGCGTGGCTGGAACATTTTACAGAGCTCTCCCCAAGCCTTCATCATGCATTATATTTGTCCTTCATCACTGAGCTCTCTGCATTGTGCAGAATACAATCAACGACCTGGTTAAAATAATAACAGTAAGTGGCCCTGTAAATTACTACAGCGATAACACCGGGTTCAAGAATAGCAAGATGGCTTGCGCCAACATACTTGTCCAAACGTCCTGCTCATAGAAAAATGGTTCCTTAAAAGAGGGATTTTTTTTCAAGTTAGGTACTCAGGAAAGTAAGAGCTGCAAAGTTCTTGTCTGTCCTATACATGTTCCACTCAATGGAAAAAAAGCCTTAATTACATGTTTGTATGAATGGCTTTGCGAATATTCTGGACATTTTTTAGATATATTTTCCTTTTGGCTTAGTAAAGGCTTTAACAATCTGTCTGATTTTATCCAGAGACACAGAAAAGCCAGTGTCACAGGTATAATTACGAACGATGCAGCAATGTGTTTTCTATGTCTATATAATGTCCACGGAGCCTGCTGTTCTGTGGATACGCAGCTCCTATGTTACTTTACATTGCCTAACTTCCTACCTTGAACTCTTCCTCGCAGTATTTCCTCCGCTGCTTCTGCTGCAGCCTTATTTTGCTTTTGTTACTTGAAAAGTGCGTATTTTGCACATCGCTTTCTACTCAGCTTATAGTTTCCAAACACACTTTACAAGAGTATTGTTCTGCTAGAAAGACAGGAGGGCAGTGTGGCAGGGCTCCATTAATGGGAATAACCCCTGGCTGGCTTTACTGACCTTTTGTCTACTGACTAATGCTGCTTTGCATGGTTATAAATAGCTAGTTAGAGAAAAGCATCAAGAATAAAAAGCACAAGCAGCCTTGCTCTGGACTTCCAGCTGCAACGGACAAGCTGGTTCGGAAGGCAGATAACAGAAAACTCTTTGGCAAGCATTGTGCAGGGTTATTCTCCATAATCAAGTCTGCACGTAGGTTCAAGCTGCTGGATGCAGAGAGCAGCAATCACTGAGAAGTCTCACTTTTCTTACTTTTCTCCACATCCGTTCTGCACCAGCGATCAGTGAAAAGCCTTGGTGAATTTGCCACAAAGGGAGGGAATTTGCACTGTGGGATCAGCAAAGAATCTCTGCAGCTTTACAGAAACCCTGTCATACCCCACAAGACAGCACAGTGACAGGGAGCAATTCGGTAATTAACAGCTGATGACACTGCATCCTGGAAACAAATATTTGTCTTTATTTTTTCTGGCGCTTTGCCAAATGTGGGTATTGCGTGAGTAACAAAGTCTTAAGTCAGCCACCAAAAACCAACTATATGGACTTTCAGGTTTATCACCACAGTGACAAACACTGAAAAATATCTGAAACAGTAGACTGGATCCGTCTTTGCTCTCCACACAGCACTAAATTCACATATACACAAGTAAAAACAAACCGGCTTGAGGACAACCATGGTGACTCCATAATCTATTTTAGTTTTGTGTCTCACTGTCTGAGGAACAGCATTGCTAATGGGGTTCAGAATACTGGCTGCTCTTAGCTTATGCCTGCTATGAACAGTAACTACTGCGCTAAGAATTCATAATAATAAAAACCAACATCCATGTGGAATATATAAAAACATGGTACAAATGTACATTTAAAACAAAATTCAGGACACGAACTGAAGGGGGCTTTATTAAAATTTCAGAACATTCAACTTGACAGTGTCCTTTCAGCAGCTCTCCCTTCAACTTTAAAAACTAAATCCTATAGGGAACAGATTAAAATCCCCACCCCCCTAAAGTTTAGCAATGTCTTTGTCATGAGCAAAGTTGAGTTTTGCAGTCTCTGATTATAATTCCTTTGGGATTCTTTTAACCAATGAGAATAGCTAGGTGAAACAGGACAAATTATAATATGCTTATTCTGGGTGCAGCCTACCTGTGGAACTCCTTGCCAAAGGATAATGTGAAGGCCAAGACTGTAATAGAGTTTTAAAAACTAGATAAGTTCATGGAGGATAGGTCCATCAATGCCTGAAGAAGGGCCACACTTGCCGCCCACTCATTAGTGTAGGTTGCCCATCACTGGGCTAACAAGTGTGTCCAGCTTGGTGCAGTTACACAGAAATAAGAATGACACATCTCTTTAGTAAAAGATAAGTGACAGTACGAGAAGAGAGGCTACAACCTGCTTTAATGCCTTTGCCCAGCAATAGCGGATGAGGCATTTTGCAATGTTAGAAGCAACCTGGCTCTTCTTTCAGAGAAGGAAAGAACGTCTCTGTGCAACATCTGTGGATCTCGCCAAAGCAGAGGTTGGAGGTAAACAAGTCTGGATCTGCACTGAGCCTGTAGCTTTTCATCTAGGCTAGCTGAGAGAGACGGAGGAGCCTCATTGCCTGTTACTCTGAATCTTTTGTGGCCATTTATATGTATGCAGAGGGAGAGAGGGTGAAGCGCGCAAGTCAGAACTGTGACATGTTTACCCTTCCTTGGCATGGTGTCATGGTGATGCAACATGCAAGTCTATGGAGAATCAAACCCACTGTTCCTCATACTATCCCACGGGACCAGAAGTGCAGCCAGCTAAGAGAAAGGCTCTGACCTTCTGCAGGAGTGTCACTAAAATGGGTGTTGATGGCAGAGCTCCTCAGCACCCCTAAAAATCCATCTCCAAAGCTGAGATCCTGAAAACCAGTGGCCACTTTTAACCCAAGAGACGTGCCCTTGGCCACAAAGGGTGTGTGTGACAGAACCAGGAAGAGAGAGGCCAGATCACCTGACCTGATCTCAAAGACCCGTACGTCAGCCTCAAGACTCTCCCGCCTTTCGCGCCACTTGCTGAATTCCAGCTTTCAAGCAGGCCCGAGTGCCTCTCTCAATCACTTAAGCGACCGGTGATTGCTTCAGTTGTGAAAGTCAAATCCTACCCCCTCTTTACAGATGGCGCACACACTTTGGCTATGTCTACACTACAGGTTTGTTGCGCAAGAAGCTTTTTGCGGAAGAAATCTTCCGCAAAATCTTTGTGCGCAAGAGCACGTCCGCACTACAAAAGCGCATCGAAAAAGTGATGCGCTTTTGTGCAAGAGAGCGTCCAGACTGCACGGACTCTCTCTCAAAAGGAAACTCTGATTGCTATGCACAGAATGGCCACCAGGATACCTGTGCTTTTTTCACTTGCCTCTTTCTGCGCAAAAATCCCCTATTCCCCATCCACACACACCTTTTTGTTCAAGAGCTTTTGTGCAGGCATTCTGCTTTCCCAAAGTGCACCTATATACACACACACAAATCCTTTTAAGAGAGTTTGTTCCTGATTACACGTGTAAACACATCTTACTGGAATCTATCCAGAGCACCTTCTCCAAATGGCAGAAGACCTGGTTATTTATTCTACAAGAACGAGGCTCTTTTGACATGCTTCCCACTGTGGTAAACATGTAAACAAGAATCTGCTTTTGGCATAGTAGCCCAGAATTATTTTTTCACCGCAGCCCTATTGGGCACAACTGGCCTGGATATGCACACTGCCACATGCTGGCTTCTAGAGAAAGACGTATGTACCCAGTGATATACAATTCTCCACAACAATCTTGCCACATTATAAACTGCTTTAAGATTGGGAGGCAACAGCAAAACACAAAAGCTGAGCTGTCGATGTAAGAGGTAGTCACACGCCCAGGCTCTAAACAGCGTCAGCTGGAGGGAAACAGACACATGTTCTCCCCACCAGCCCCCATAACACCACACAAACAGGAGCAACGTTTTCCAGGGTCAGGTGATTCCTTGGACTCCTGGAATGGTAAAGCTGGCAAAGATGTACGTCCCCCCGCAATGAAGACTTTCTTGTTCCATTCACTAACAGTGGGACACTGCGGCAAAAAAGGCAAACACGAGTCTGGGAGGCATTTACAGGAGTGTTGAGAGCAAGATACGAGAAGTCGTTCTTCCGCTCTGCTCTGTGCTGATTAGGCCTCAGTTGGAGTATTGTGTCCAGTTCTGGGCACCACATTCAGGGCTGGCCTTACCATGAGGCGAACTGAGGCAGGCGCCTCAGGTGCCAGACTGGGAAGGGCACCACTAGGACCCAGAGTGTAGAAAATTGTGTCTGTTGCTGATGCGTATGTATTCTCTCTGCTCTAGATGCACAGAGACGGTGCAATGCTGTGCTGGAGGAAGGAGGGCACAAGAAACTTTTCAAAGTTTTGGCCCAAGCGAGGGGGTATGGGGGCGTCATTTGAGCTCCCCGCCTCAAGTGCCAAAATGTTGTGGGCCGGCCCTGACCACGTCAAGAAAGACGTTGAGAAATTGGAGAGGGCCCAGAGAAAAATGATTAAAGGTCTAGAAAACATGAGCTGTGAGGGAAGACTGAAAGGGGACAGGATAGCGGTTTTCAAGTACTTAAAAGGGTGTTACAAGGAGGAGGGAGAAAAATTGTTCTCCTTGGCCTCTGAGGACAGGAGAAGCAGCAAATGGGCTTAAATTGTGGCAAGGGAGGTTTAGGTTGGACATTAGGAAAAATATCCTATCAGGGTAGTTAAACACTGAAATAAATTGCTTAGGGAGACTGGAATCTCCACCACTGGAGACAGTTAAGAGTAGGTTAGACAGACACCTGTCAGGGATGATCTAGATGGTGCTCGTGTAACCCACACGTCTACTGAGTGTGGTTCACTGTCCCATGGAATGGCATTTAGACCACTTACAGAGAGAGAGAAGAAGAAGTGAGCTCTACAGCCTAAGCTGGGAGCCAACAGGCTTTATAGCTCAAGCTGTAGACGACTCCTACACTCAGCTCCAAAGGGCCCAGGTTCAGTTCTGCCTACTGCCAGTTATACATAGTCCTGCTAGGAGGGCAGGGGACTAGATTTGATTTAACCCTCTCCAGGTCTATGATTCTATAATCTACTAGCCAAATCAAGGCTCAAGTAATAAGTCACAGAAAGGAACTGGAATCCATGCCAGAAATGCCCATCCGAGGAGTCGGGATGAAATACGTCTCCAGAGGTGTAGACCAGGGCCCTCCACTGTAACACAAAACTGGAGGATACAAGTTGTTCAGGCTGGTAAACTCTGACAACAAAGTGCTGCTATCTGCCCAGCAAGGGGTGAGAGGTAGAAGTGGTTCCTAGGTTTGCACAGGAGTGGCCCGAGGCCGGCTGGTGCCCCTGCCTGCACAGCTGTCAATGGCTGTGATGACATCACAAGGTGCCCCTGGAACTCCATGACATCATCATTGGACACCTGGGGCAGTGGTGCCCTAGGCAACGGCCTGGCTCATGGGCCACCCCTGGGTTTGCAGAGGGTATGTTTGCGATTTAGCTATAACTTTGTCATATCATAGTAGTCGACCTTCTCTGAGTGCAAGCGCTAAGCACTAATCCCTATGGTGTCTACAACTTATGCTACCATAGTGCCCATGACAGGTAAGGGTCACAACTGCGCTGGTCAGCAAGCACCCATGTCCCAACTGTCTGCTTCCCACCTTTACAAGCCCTAAAGCAGCATTGAAAATATACAGCCTAAACTTAAGGAAGCTCAAACCTATATGTTCAAGACCCAAAATAAGTCTCAGGGTAGGGAGATTGTTTTAATTCTTGCCACATGTCCTTTGCTTAGATCAGCCACTATGTAAGCCCTCGGTGCTTGCATTTAGTTTTTGGTTCATTCGTCTCAATCACCAGTTCTCGACCTGCGTGCTACTTGCGGCCCAATCAGCATACAGCTGCAGTCCATGTGACATGCTCAGGGCCAGACAGTATATATACTGCATAAATGCAGCCCCCATTAACACAGAGACAGCTGCATATGCAGCCCACATTACAGGGAAAGCCACTGTTCTAAATACAAGCAAAACAAACTGCCTGCCAATCAAACATTTCTCAAGCCCCTACCCCAAATGCTCACAAGCACAAATTGTCCCTGTTTTTGCTACAGCATCTTTCTTAAAAGCAACAGTTTAAAAAGTGGGCCTGGATTTACTCCGCTGCTTTCGGGGTTTGTCTCCCGATGGAGCTATTCTGGGAGAGCGGCGTAGCGCAGTAGGTGTAATGAGAGAGGCAGTGTAGTCTACTAAATAGAGTATTGGACTCAGACTACACCAGTTAATTCATGGCTTGCCGCTGACTTCGGGTGAGTTCATTCAGTTCTTTGTGCCTCTTTTTCTCCCCTCTGGTTACTTGGGCAGCAATTTGGAGCAGAAACGGACTCTCTCAGTGTTTATACAACATCTCTCACGCTGGAGACCCCGATCTACGACTGAAATGGAACACAAACAACTTTTGTTGCAAGCGGAATGCGGCAGGTTAGCTGTTGTTAATCCTTCTTGCCGGTGGCTCATCCCTCCTGAAGCAAAATTGAAAGTAAACATTTTCAGGCCTCTGGGGAGAAGAGGTTAATTACGGCCTCTCCGTCCAGGGAATGTGGTTACACTGGTTGTTAAATGCAGAGTGCTCATCTGTCCGCACGCAGTTTTCACTCATGCCGCTCTGTAAATCTAAAGGACCAGCTGAATCTTTTCTATTAGGTCTCTCTCAAGAAACAACAAACTTCGGTGCAATTACGGTATTCACCAGACACTCCTGAGCAGCCAGGACTGGAGTGCTTGATTTAGTTGCAGAAGAGAGCCCAGCCACAACCCGAGCTAAGGAAGTAGACCCTTTCCAGCTAGCGGTTAGTAATCTCTGCCCGCCAGTCCCTAGAAGGCAATATCATTAACACTACGGAACCAGCGTGCTGCCTGGTTCCTCTTCCCATGAAGGTGTGTCGAGTTCTCCTTGCAGCGATGACACAGAGAGCTCGGGAAGGGGTTTTTTTTGTACGTCTGAACTTTTAGTGTTGAGGAACCTAAGTGTTCCTCAGGCTTTGTCCACACTTAACACGTCAAAATGCAGCCGCAGCAGGGCTTTGAATTGAAAGCGTGGGCATGACACAACCGCTACACAAACCACCTCCACGAGGGGAGTAGCTGACAACAGTGGGAATGCAGCTCCCAGCCTTGTGGCTTGGTTCACACTGGTGCTTTACAGCGCTGTTGCCTGTTGCGCTGGAGCGGAAGTGGGGTTTCCACACCCGAGCCAGACAGTTACAGGCCAATGTAGACTTGGCCTCAGATCAGAAAGCAGGAAAAAGAACAAAGCCCCCAAATGATTTTGATTTCAGCTACGATGTGGGTCTTTGTCCAATCCGAAAGAGTTGGCTTCTTTTGGATGATTCACTTCCGCCTGTGTTTTCTAGATTTTGTTTTGAATCGTGGCTATCATTTTGGGGTGGAAACATTCACCCATATGTTTAAACTGTCGGATGATTTCCCACGGACTCGCTCCTAATATGGAGGAGCACGTCTCTCTCCAGTAACAGCTGGGCACAGAATGGACCCTGCCATGCCTGAAATTAATCGGGATTCTTCAGGCTCCCCCTCGAGGAGATGGATGATCACAAACCCAGATCGTCCTAAAGACTGGGGCAGGAAGGGAGTTACTTTTCCAGGCAGGGAGGCAGGAAGGAATCAGTTTTCTTGAGAGTTCACCAAAGCAAGTTCTTCTCCCACCCCCAACACGGCTCAGAGTTCTGTCGGCGTCACTGACGCCTGCTCGGAATATCTCGCACACATCCAACTGGACGCCCCTCGGTGTAGCTGCAAACAGAGAGAACCGCTACGCCTAGGCAGAATGATCCCTGGGACCACAGAGAGCTACCGTTATCACTTCACGGGAGCAATACTGACCTGCTAGAGATGGAGGTGACATTTCAAGTTCTCCATACTGCTCCACAAAGCCTGCTCGCGAAACCTTGTGCCATACGCTACAAAGAATCACCGGCTACCCTGCAATTAGCGCAAATTAGTCCCTGTGGAAGACAGTCACAGGCTAGCGCTTTCCTTCCCCCGGAGCCTACCTTTGTGTCAGTCACAAGTGATTTCCCCAGGGAAGGTGTGTCCCTAGAAATTTAATATTTGTACAGATACGAGCCAGTCTGTTGCTTTCCTTAACTGGGTGCCGAAAACTCATAACTTCTCCAGGAGCCTGCTATGACTCAGTATTACTAGGCACACCTACGACACCTGAAGGAATCAGGTCGAAGGGTAGGCAATTCAATTCTAGAAACAGGTGCTTCTGAAATGCCTATTCTATAGCCACAGTAGCCTTGAGCTAGAGTGTGGGAGCCTGACAATGCAACGTGGGTGCCCTGGGAAAACCAGCTAATTTATTAAAACACCTGTTAAAAACCCACCCTGAAAAATAATCCTCTCTCAATAGAACTAGCAAACAAGCGGTGCTCTGCAAACAGAACAGGTACAGGTTACAGCAGGTATAAGCTCTTTTGGGCAGGGTTCACAGCTTCATATATGTTTACATCACCCCTCCCATAATGCTCCCGAGGGCAGAAGGCAAGAGTAAATCAATAGCAATGTATGTGGGAACAGGTGCACAGAGCAGAATACGCAAGCACTTGGTGGGGGAGTTACAGTAGACAGAGTCCTCCAGCCGTGTGCTAACAGGAAGCCTGACAAACCTACCCCGCCAACCCAGACATCAGGAATTGGGATGTGATGTCAATATCGTCTGTTTGCCAACATGCCTTTCCAAAGGCAGGGGGTGAACAGGTAATGTCTTCCGCAGTCTAAGGCCCGTGCGGCATTTGCCCCCGCTGACTTATTGCTTTTATTTTCCCTTTTCCTGTGAAAAATCTCTTCTCCCCATATTTTCTAGGACTTGAATGGAGACGCCCACAGGAAATCAAGTGTAGGAAGCAGGGTAGGCACGCTGCACTCCAGCAAAAACAAGGAGGCGTCCTGTGGCATTTTGCAGGCGAACACCTTTCTTTGGGTGTAAGCTATCGTGGGCGGGGACCCACTTTGTCACTTCAAAAGCTGACGCCCAAATAACAGTGCTGGCCTTTAAAGTGCCCCAGGACTCCTGGTTGTTTTTGCTGAAACAGACTAACCCAGCGACCCCTCTCACAACTTGCCACACTCCATTTCGTTCTCCTTTCTGTCTTGCTCTGGGTTTTCTTTTTCCCGGTGTTGCGTTAAAGGAGCTTTCTGCTCAGAGAACACTTTTGGAAAGACACGTTTTTCATTCCAACAAACTCCACAGGCTGTGCGAGTCAGTGTGATCGCTGGGGAGCAGCCTGTCTTTTCTGCGGTGGACCACGTGGGAGGGGGAAGAAGTTATGCAGGCTGCATTTTAAGGTAACAGCATTCCTAGTGGGCATGCCGAGTAAGTTCCAAGGGGACGCTGCTCTGAGACCCGTCATGGAGGACGCAGACGTAACAAATATAGACCCCCCTCTCTGACATCTTGACAAGGGTTGCAGAGTCTGTTTGGAAACAGCAAAATAGGCAAGGCTGTCTATCTGAACCATCCTTGACCTACCAAAACCTGGCATGAGGCATATGCTGTGTACCATTTGCATCCAAGAACTTCTCTTTTTTTAAATCTAGTCTCTGATATCCTTTCCAAATAGCACAGTACATCACACACAGTGCAAGTCCGTCCCTTGATGGAGAAGCCGAAGATCATTTTAAGTAGGGATGTAAATAACCATGAAAATAGTTAACCGGTTAAACAGACCGGTTTAATTATACCTGTCTGATGGTCCAGCAGGGCCAGATTTCCACCTGGCTGGCTGGGCCGTCTCGCTGGTCCAGCCACACCCCGCGGTGTGTGGGGCGAGGATTTCAGGGCCGGAGTCCTGTCTGGCCGCCAGGGCTGTTCTGATGCAGCCAGGGCGATGGTCCTGCTGAGGATACTCTGGCATGACAGGGCCAGGGTCTTGCGTGACAACCTGGGCCACCCCAGCAGCCGGGACTGGGGGCTTGAGACAGGAGCAGCCTGGCACCGTTGGTTGGTTACCCGGTAAGCATTCGGATAAGCCTAATGCATACCAGGTAACCGGTTAACCTTTACATCTCTAATTTTAAGCTCTTTTTCTCTATCCCCTCAGCCTCCTAAAACTGTTTATACCTGTAAGTGTGGAGTGATATACACACATCGAGATTGAAAAGACTGGGACGTTGTGGAGGAGAACAAGAGAAGACAAGGTGGCAGTGCGCAAAATAATTTTTTGCACAGAAAAGATAAATCAGGTATTTCTATGTATCCCTTCTGGTAAGACAAGTACAAGGGGAGAACAAATGACACTGAAAAGCAGTAAATTTACAAAGGATAAAGAGACATTTTAGGTAGGACATAACCATAGACATGTAGGGCTAGAAGAGACCTCACAAGGTCACCAAGCCCTGCCCCCATGCTGAGGAAGGTAAACCGAGACCATCTCTGACAGGTGTTTGTCTAACCTCATCTTAAAAACCTCCAGGGATGGGGACACTCTGATCTCCTGAGGTAACCTGTTCCAAAGATTAACTACCCTTGTAGTCAGAAAGCTTTTGTTTCTAATATCAAACCTAAATCTCTCTTGCTGCAAACTGAGCTGACTTACTTCTTGTCCTACGTTAGGTGGACACGAACAGCCCAACAAATCACTTTATATTATTTATATATTTTATACTATATGTTTATATGTTTGAAAATTGTGTCTCCCACCCCTTTCCATTCTTCTCTCCTCCAGACGGACTCAACTTGCCCAATTCTTTCAGCCTTTCCTCAGAGGTTTTGTTTGCCAAACTTTGTATCATTTGTTGCTCTTCTATGAACCCCTTTAATTTAGTCAGATCTGTCTTAAAGAGTGGTGCCCAAAGCTAAATGCACTATTCCAGTTGATGCTTGTGGAACTCACTGCCACTGGATATCACTGAATCAGGAGTTCAGAAAGATTCAAAATAGGATGAGAAATGTATACAGAAAATGAGAACATCCACAGTGTAGTTTCCCTAACTCTTTCTTTGGAGCATCTGATATTGCTAGTGTCAGACAACACTGAACTAGACAGTGGCAATTCCTGCATTTCTAAATGGGGATGTTAATTATATTTGTATAAACGTGTAACCATTTGAAATTTTAGCAGTTACACGTTTACACACAAGGGGGCAGGCGGGAGCCGGTGCTTGCGGGGAGCTGGCTTAAAAGCCGGCTCTCTGCGAGCACTGGCTCCTTCCCACTCCCACCCCCATTGCCTCTGATAAAGAGGCAGCAGCATAGGGGGAAGCCGATACATGTGAGGAGCTGACTTGAAAGCTACTTACCATGTATACCAGCCTCCCCTCCCCCTCACTGCCTGTGTCGGAGGGGGAGTGGGAGGGGGAGGTGGCTCCCCAGGAGCTGGCGCACACAGCCCTGCCTCACCCCCCCCCCTCGTGCTGCTGCCTCTGATACAGAGGCAGCAGGGAGGGGGGAGTTCATGTAGTCAATAGGATTAACCAGTAAGCCCAGGCTTATCTGTTAATCATGCAGTCGACTACACATTGTCAACCCGTTTTTAAATGCTGTACAAATGAACAAAAACTAGCTTGAAATGGCTGCTTTTTGCTGTCCAGCGTTACCCAGCATCTTACAGAAGTTATTCGACAATTACATTAATAGTGATTTGGATCTGACTTGAATGAAGGACTCAAAGTTCCACTGGCTTCAATGCAATTTGCTAACTCTTGCCCCATTCCAAAAAAGCTGCTTCTTGAGGCAAGAGTAAAAATGGGGACATGCTGAAGTGCTAAGTGGCCCATCCCTGCCCGGCATGTTCCTCCAGCTGACAGCTCTTGATTAGCTGCCCTGATGTTCAAGCTCAGGCTGCAAACCAGAAAGATCAGATTTGCAGAGAATGAAAAAGCAAATCTAACCACCAAGTGCATGGCAGTTATTTTCAGAATGGCATGGTTCCCACCAAAAAGATCAGATCACTTTCCTGCACCACAAAAGAAGCTGTTGTATTCAAATCCATATAAGGCAGCACTCAGAATGGGCTTTTTTTTTTTAATATATTAAAAACTGCTTTGTGCGTTATCAAAGGGCTCTTATCACACGGTTAGCACGTCTCCTTGTGCAGCTGTTGCATCCAACTTTGTGAAGTTGGCAGACACATTCACAATTTGTGAGCTGCCTGAAGTATTTGCTTATGAATCTATATAAAATATTTATGATGTCAGGATTTTGTAGTGGAAAGTGTTAGACTGGATTATAGGTGGAGCTGACAGCAACACTTCTGTACTATGAAAGTAGTCTGTAGCATGGTGTAAAGCAGTGGTCCCCAACGTGGTGCCCGAGGGCATCATGGCGCCTGCTGGGGCATTTATGTGCGCCTGCCAAACCATCTGGGCTAGCCCTGCCCCCGGGCGCACAGCCCATGCGCGGTGTCGGCCCCGGGCAGCCCCTGCCCTGGGCTCATGGCACATGGGCAGCCCCTACCCTGGGCACGCGACACATGCCAGTGCCAGCCCCAGGCGCGAGGCGCATGGGTGGCCCCGCCCCCAGGCGCACGGCACATGTGTGACCCCGCCACCGGGCGTGCGGCGCATGAGCGGCCCCGAAAGGTTGGGGACCACTGGTGTAAAGTACTGGGCTGGGTTCCCTAGGGAGGGGGGGTGGAATCTCCATCCCTAGAGGTTTTTAAGTCTCAGCTTGACAAAGCCCTGGCTGGGCTGATTTAGTTGGGATTGGTCCTGCCTCGGGCAGGGGGCTGGACTTGATGACTCCTGAGGTCTCTTCCAGCTCTATGGTTCTATGAAAATAAATGCAACCTCTCCCTTCTAGGAATTCGTCTATAGAAGACAACTGCCCATTACTGCAATCAGCTCACGCTGCCCCCACCTTCAGCTCAGCTGGTAGAGATGTGCGCTTTGGTAATGACAGTCCTGGGTTAAAACACGCATGATGACAAGGGTTGAGTTTAGGTAACATTAAGATTACAGTTGAAACAAACAGAACTCTCCCTAATTTCTGCCTTGCTGTTCTTTAGTCGTTTAAAAAGAGGAAAGTTTTGATTTCTGCTTCGGTTAGTCCCTCTTCCCTCCCCACATGTTGATTGGCATCATGGTGTGGGAAATAGCCACTCATTGTGCCAGGTTTGTTTGACAAGTTCAGCTTTATGACGGGCTAGTTTTTCAAAGACACAGGTGGCAGGTGGGTACCCACCTAGCTCCCAGTGCATTCAATGCAGTTGAATCCCTGAGAATCTCTAAGCACGGTGCTTTCTTGCAGGGCAGGGGCAGGGAGTGAGAGACTTCACGTGCTCCTCCACCCCAGGTCCTGACTGACCTGGGAGCAGCAGGGGATATCACGTGGAGTCTTCTCCCGCTGCCAGGGACACGGGTACCTAGAGGGAACCGCCAGCTGTTCAGAACAGCTGGTGGTTCTCTTGGGGGGGGGAGACTTAGTGTGATCCCCAGACAAATCAGGGTCTGTGGGAGTGGAAGCACAGAAGTGTCCTGGCCCCGCCCCTTTTGCCTGAGGCTCCGCCTCTTCTGGGGCGGCCTAAGGCCACTTGAACCATTTCTGATGTAGCCCCCAGTCAAAAATGATTGCCCACTTCTGTTATAGACTCGTTGCTTTGTAAAGCCGCTTGAGAAACCTAGAGGAGGAAAGATGCTATAAGCTCCCCCTTTTATCCTGAAGTAGGAATATCCTGAGCTGAGCCATGCCATCCCCCAGCAAAAGGAAGTTTGTTTGCCAATAAACTTGCATCATGCATAAAGCTGGCTATGGAGGATGGAAAGAACTGCAATTATCAGGTAGAGAAATAACAGACTCAGGAAAAAGAATGATGGTAGGATCCTTGTTAGCAAAGTTGGATTTTTTTTTTTTTTTACATCCAAAAGCAAGTTAACATTCAAAGCAGTTTATTCAAAGAGGATCTACTTACTAATGAGGCCTCCTTGAAACAAGTCATCCCCATAACTTTATAAACACTCTTCCTAGGAAACATTTTAAATACATTTAAGTGTATACATCTTTGAAATTTCCATTCAAATAGTGTTTTCAAAACATATTTACTCCAGGCCGAAGACAAACACAAAGCTCCCAGTATTCCCGGCACTAATGTGAATAGACTTGTGCTATTTTTACCAGCGTTTGGCATCTAGCCTAAATCAGTTGTAAAGCACTGGAAGATGATCCTTTGCCCGCTCATCTCCTCTGCAAATCCACCAATACAATCTTCGCAGATTTCTTATTATTAAGATTTGCAAGAATAGCAGGGGGGATGTTATGGAATAGAGGCTTCTGCAGGATTTCTATATCAGATTTCACCAGAGTAATTTTGGTTTTGAGCCACAAAAACAGGCATATTTCAATCTTTCTAAGTTTTGGGGGGAAACGTAAACAACACTGTCAGTGATTTTATGAGAATTTAAAAAAAAAGTCCTTGAAACATACAAACTGTTGTGTAAAGATGTCACAAAATATATGATGTGTTGCTAGTTTACTTATGTAATGACAAATCACACAGCAGGTGCCCTGTCACTAATCTCACCTACCGCGCATTACACTGCTGATTTTGAACATACATTTTTTGTTCACGTCCGGGGACGTTTATCCTAAGCAGATACATTCTCTTCACTCTTAGATGGTACGATTCTAAGGATAGAGCGCTTGTCTGCTCCACATACTGTACAGTGCTGTGCTCATTACAAAACAGGATTTCTACTTTGAATCAGTTTGCCTTCCAAAGTTAATAATTTCTTTTGAGATTTCCCCAATCTGTCTATACTGCACTCAACACCTTACTGTGCATTTGAAATCATCCCTGTGATCAGCCATTAATATCAATCAATTTGAACTGATACCAAAAGCTCTTCCATCAGCTGTTCTGTATTACTATATTTTCTCAAAAGGAGACTATTCTGTTTGCATGTTTGTTTTCAAGGCACCAAAAATAATCATAATCAAAAACCCTGCCCTGCTGCAGTCTTAGATTTCTATTTCCACTATAGTTTGCCATCCAAAACCATTTCAGTAATGCCCATTGATGTGGGTGTGTGCATATGCAAACAATGACTCACAGTGACCTTCCATCTTGTCTGCTAGAATTTACAACAATATAAAATTCACAGCAGCAATTACCCTAGAGTGCTACATAATTACCAAAAAGAACACCCAGAATAGGCACCCAAAAAGCAGTCTGGTCCATTCTGCGGCTAAGACTGAAAACAAAACTTTAAACAAAATGTTATCTGTTAATATTTGTACCGCTGACTCTTATGTTTTGTGTCGCTGGGCTAAGGAAAGGTTTGTGGACTGGCTATGTAAAATATGTAAATATTCTTTCAATTCCAATGAGCCACTCAGTTTCAGTGTAAATGCAGCATCTAACTTTCACCATTAAGCCAAAAGGGGTGCGCCAAAAAACAAAGTTAGCTCTGCAGCCAGCACCATTAGTAACTTGCAGGGGGGGTTGATTTTTTTTTTTTAATGAGTTGTATTGCAGATTTTGAAATACTGTCAGCGCCTCAGGACGGAGAGTTTATTTAAATATCGACATACCCCGCCCTTCTGGGATTAGGAAGAAGCATTCACGATGCATCCGAAAAGAATCAAGGCTGGGTCCTGCAGGCAGCTGCGCACCTTCGCCTCCCCGGGCAGGCCGGGAGAGTGGAGGGCGCCCAGCCCCTGGCCAGGATGTGGTCCCGCCCGGTCACTACGATTCCAGCCAGGGCGGGGCGGGCACCCGGGCACTATCATACCCCGCCCTTCTGGGATTAGGAAGAAGCATTCACGATGCATCCGAAAAGAATCAAGGCTGGGTCCTGCAGGCAGCTGCGCACCTTCGCCTCCCCGGGCAGGCCGGGAGAGTGGAGGGCGCCCAGCCCCTGGCCAGGATGTGGTCCCGCCCGGTCACTACGATTCCAGCCAGGGCGGGGCGGGCACCCGGGCACTATTTTAGGTGGGTTTGTGGACAGGGGATGAGCGGCAGCAGCAGCCTTCGCCCTCCCGTAGCTCCCTGCGGCGCATCTGCAGGGGGTCCCCCCTGCGCGCAACCCAGGGCGCACGGCGGGTCCCCCCTGCGCGCAGCCCAGGGCGCACGGCGGGTCCCCCCTGCGCGCAACCCAGG